GCTGGCAGACTGAGGGAGGGTGCAGCCAGGATCCAGCAGCGAGGGTGCTTTTCTCTACAGAAACCTCCACCGTAAACAGCTCTTGCATGGGAGAGCTGGCTGGTTTTTTTCCCTCCTGTGGGAATATTGCAAATCTTTGTTAGAGCTTAGACAACCTCTTATTAGGGAATAGACATAAGCAATTTATACATGTTAGTCGCAGCTGTCTTAGTAGGAAACAATTAGGCACATTGCTACTTAGAACACAAACAGCCCAGAAGAGGCTTACAAAATAGAGCTCGCCAAAGCAAAAAATACTTCCAAAATGTCTCATTAGCAACAGCCTAGAGGTTTTTTTTTAAAAAAAAAAAACAGTTTGGGAGGAAGGAAGAAAAGAATTCCACTGGAAAAAATCCCAACTTGGTCCAGCTTAGAAAAATTCATGCTTGTATTTTTATTTTGTGAAAATTCTTGTTTTGCAAAAAAAAAAAAAAAAAAATTCCACAGTCACATTCCTAGGAATCGGAAGCCCACAATAAGGTCTCTAAGTGACTTTCCAAGTCCTTCAGACCTCTGGAGAAAAATGTTTAAGAGAAGCATAAGCGAGGCTTGTCGGTGCAATATGAGAATGGGCGGGCTGCAACCGTTCCACCCACCCCTTCCCCTCACAGTGCTTTATCCGCGTGGCCTCACATGCTCCTACACAGCAGGACTGCTGTTTTCCAAGAATAACCCATGTCTTCACTTAACAGCACCTTAAAGGGACCTGGTTTGCCCAGTCCTCTCCCAGCATCTCAGCTCAAGCATCACGTACAACTCATCTGTTTCGAGCACATCAGTGTTAATGCTCAGACCTGAGGTGCAAACAGAGGGGACTGCATTTAGGCAGGGAAGGTTTAAGATCTCAGCTATGCTTCCAGGCTGAGGTCCCAAGGCACATGCCCTGGATGCCAAATACGCACTGTGCTTTGCCAGTTAGTTTCCACTATCATTTCTCCCCCTGTTGAACACCCGCCTGAGTCTGACTGTGACTCAGATCAGCTTAATCCTAGCTCCAGAGGCAGGAATAATTTTATCCCCATCTGGAGCAACAACACAGCACCACAATACAAATGTTTTAAAGCATGAAGCAAAGAGCATCACATTCATGGGAAACCACCTAGAGGGTCAGCTAAGGACTGCATTCCCTGCAGCCCAAATTTTGCTTGAATAAAAGAATGAGAGAAGCCTGTTCCCTTGGAAGACGTGGCAGAAATCTGTACGCGATGGAAAGAAACAAGATCTGACAACACATCATTAAAAATCCACTAACAAGGGGTTTTGCTTTGTTTCTTTTTTATTGTTTTTAAATCACTTTTTTTTTTCTTTCCAGAAGTCATTATGTCTGACTCCATTAACATTCAGGTAAACAAGTGAAAGAACAACAGATGGGCGTGATCTCGTAGCACGGGCACAGCTGCTGGGCGCAGGGCTTGCCTTTCTTTGCAGCAGCCGAACATCGCTCTCCCTCGCCCAGCATTCCCTCCCTCTCCGTACCGGTATGGGCGATGGCTGGCAGCCGCCGCCGGACATTACTGCTTCAAACGCAGCGAG